ATACTGGGTGGCAGTGGTTCTCTTTAGCAACATTTAGGGCACAGAAAAATACTAACTGGGAACTAAACATTAAAATGCAGCAGTGTTACCTATTTCACAACACAAAGAACGAAGCATGAGCACCAGGTTGAGAATACGTGTAATTACCTTGCAAGTGATGCTGAAGCCACATATATTTACACTAAAGCTACATTTCACTAAGCAGACAAATTAAAACTTAATTACTGATATGCGAGTTGTAATGTGTACTCAGTTCATAACATAACTCACATTTATTCCCAAAATGCAGCTACACACCTACATGAATAATATTCAAAGACTTAATGGAAAAAGTGAAGTTTTGAATATACAAGGTTTAGAAACCAGCTTTGTACATCTTGAATTACTTGAGAACAGGAGCTCATCACCTAAAAAATTATGGCCTGGAGAAAACAACTCGCTAAAATGGCAAAGAACATCCTTTATGCTTTCTCAAGAAGGCATGTGTCTCTTCTCATAAACAGGTATTTCAGTGGAAGGCTTACACGTCCAGCCTGTCCCGTATATCAAAATAACCTCAGTGTCAGAGAAGACTTTGCCTCATTTTTACTGTGTGAAGAAAATAACATATTTAAGCAAGAAAAAAAAAATACCACTGCCCCTCATTTTAGTTTTACATGTGAACACTTCTGCAGCAACATCCAAGCCCTTCTGCACATGAAAGTTTCAATATATACAAATTTTTTACATTTAGTTGCTAAATCAGAAAATTCTTTTATTTCCAGAACACAAAGATCAAGTGCAATCTTTCAGCTGATCAATCTCAAGCATATACATTTAAGTCTTGAAACTACCACCTTAGCAAAGTCCCCCTGACTTGGCCATTCACTTCCAAGTCTTGATTCCACTTCAGAGTACATAAAGAGGATTTTTCCCCCCATGAGGGCAGCCAAGCATTTGAACAGGTTGCCCCATATATTTCCTTGGACGTTTTCAAGACCAGACTGGTCTGGCCTCAGAACAGAGCCTGCTATGAGCAGAAAGTTGGACCAGATACCTCCCAAGGTCCCTTTCACCTCAAATTCTCATAATCATGAGGTTTCAGATCTTGTAGGTAGCCCTGAACAATTACTATGTAGTTTAAATAAATAAATAAATTCAGCCTCAGTTTTTCTTGAGAAATCGTATGACTGGTTTCAGATTGTCTAACTGGCAAGAACCACAGGTTGGGTTTTAATGTAGCTGACTCAGTCCTGTACCAATCTACCCAAATTTTTTCCCCAGGGAAAGCCTGGAAAGGGGAAGCAGATGATACACAGTATTTCACAGGTGACATTGTTAATGTGGATCTATCAGATCTTTGGTTTGCAGCTCAGCTCCCTACATCTGCAGCCTTTAAGTAGCCTTTATAAGTCAGTTTTACTAGTGAAACCACTGTAACACCTGGGGACACCTTCAACATTTTAAAAACAAGTGAAAAGTCTTAAAGAGAAAGCTATTTCAATTGCAATGTTAACAAAAGTAGCAGCTGCTACTTTAAAAAAGAAAGAAAATAAAGTAGCGGTAACTCAAGAGAACCCAAAAGGCTGAAGGATGTCAAGCGATGACTCTCCCTGAGGTGATTTAGCTTTCTCCAGCCCACTATCTGCTCCACACTTCTGTCAGAGGTTATCACTCCACAGCAGGAGCAACAAAGCAAAGGTGTACCCAAAGCAAATCTGTACGAACTTACAGGCTTCCAAAACATGATGCTGTCCTGCTTTCCTTCCTGCCACACATGCTGTAGAAGGTGCAGCCTCCAGCAAGAGGAAACAACACCCTGAAAGTCCAGGGAACAAGAAGACAGGACGGATGGATGACGATGACGTGAGATTGTCAAGGCAGCTTCCGATCACACCATAGTGCCAATCATACACACATGCTGTATCTGAAGCACACATTTTCAACTGGACATTTTCTATTTATTGTTAATTTCCATTACAAAATACAGCATCAACTTCTTGTGATAGTTTGAAATTTCTTGCTAAGAAAAATTGGAAGTCTATGGAGTAATCATATCCTACTGCAGGATTTCAGATGAAACCAGATACAATCATATGCCAGGCACAAGAAAATATTCTTATGACAGGAACAGATTAGCAGTGAAATAATAATAATACAGACTGGGGCTTCTGGCCAGGAAAAAGCTCAGAAACAGAACTTCTAAACAACTCCACTGTCTACCTAAAATCCCTCCGCTCTGTTAGAAACAACTCCAAGTCCCAAGCAGTAAGCCCACAAACATCAATATTCTATCATTAACCGAAAAGTCCACAAAACTCTTCTATTTAAAAACACAGCACACAACTCTTTTCCAAGACTAGAAATGCAGAATGCTAAATGCCATTGTCTTCCCTTCAATACAATCAGTGAGTATCAGCGAGAGAATACAGTGACTATAACCCAATGCCGTGGTGTTTATACTCTCACCAAGGAAGTGAGAAAACCAAACTACCGGATACCTATCTCAAGTATTCTAGAAAAACTGCTCCAAAATGAAGGGGGGGGGGGACACGGGGACAATTAGTTAAAGCTAAGATCAAATGAGGAAAAAGAAATAATGACAAAAATTAATAATTGTGCTTAACTGGATGGACTGATGTGAGTCAACAATTTCAATCAT